TTGCTGGATGCATTTGAGGGGCAGTAGCTTTTGTCAGCTACCTCATCATCACTAGAAAAATCACATTCACCTTCACTAGAGTTATCCCAATACTTTTCTAATTCTGCCTGCGTCAACGGTTTCTTTATCATCCCTAATTTCACGCTTTCTTTTTAAATTTTAAACTCTAGATTTTAAATCGAGAGTTAAATAAACTCTTTTCTAAACTCATTCTCTGTCTAAACTGTTTTCCAATGAGCAAAACCATTCTGCTGGTGGTCGAATACCATAGCGTATCCCTCTTGGTACTTCTAAACACAAAATTGTATGCAGTTTTTATATCATTTCTGTGCTCATGTAATGTTAAAATTACCATTTACTCGATTTGACCCAGTTATCAGTAATAAAAAATAAAAAAAAAAAATCTTGTACGCCTCTGCCAACCTTGAACTCCAATATATAGTTTGTTTAGTAATTATTGCAAAAAGTTATAAGATTTATGACAAGAACAAATATACTTATTATTTACTTTATTGACGAATAAGCTTTTAGAATTACGTCCAAATAATATTTTAAAGCTAAAAATATAGAGTTTTAGGAAATGCAAATTATTGATAATATAAGAAACAAGAAAGGCATAGAAATTAACGAGCTAAAAGCTATTACACAAATAAAACAACAATATTATGCAGGACTCCACAATTTAAAGCAAAAAAATGGTCAGTGAAAATTGCCAGAAAATTTCAATTAATTAAAAACATTTCCAAATTGGAAAATGTGAAAGTAAAAAGATCCCGAATAAATAAAAAATTGTAAAATAGCGACAGCAATAAAATAAAAAATAAAGATCGCCTAATTCACTCACCCCAGATAGCTACGGTATGAAAAAGACTAATGATCTGATGATGATGATAAATGATCTGATATCTGGAGTATATCTTAAAAATAGCCAAACACATAAAAAAGAAAGGAATAACATCAGCTTTCAGAACAAACAACAATTTGGGCAAATATATTAAAAGCAACAAGAGCCAAAATAAAAAATATGTGCAAAGTGGTGTGTACAAACTTAAATGTAGCGACTGCTCAAAAACTTACATCGGTCAAACTGGTAGAAATTTTAATAAACGAATAGCAGAACATAAAAGTACTTTCAATAATAGAAAAACAGATGCTACATACGCACTTCGCCTTCTAGATCATAATCATTCTTTTAATGACGAATTTCAAATTCTTCGCATTCATAAAGGCCTTAGGCTATCTTGACGTAATGTAACCAGTAGTAAAAAGGATAATACGTATTATTTGAGCAGGTACTTTCCATTTTTCATTGTCTCTTTTGTTGTAAATCAAAATATCTCGATTATAGATATCTCGAAATATACCTATACGACTTTCTCGTATTTAATCTGCATTAATTATTGTTATCATGTATTTATTTATTTATTTATTTATTGACGGGCTAAACCATTTTCAGTTTCTGTACAATATGTATAAAGTACAGTAAGAGAACGGCAGGAAAGGACTGGACGCAGATCGCCCAAAATAGAGACCAATGGAGATTAGCAGGGGAGGCCTATGCCCAAGAGTGTGCGTTTAAGGCTGGTTAGATAGATAGATAGACAGTAAGATATAGATATAGCTACAACAGTTTTTTAATGATGCAATTGAAGTATTAAATAATTTTAAATGTGTTTGGTAAATTGTTCGCCGTACGTAACATCCTAGAAATAACTTCATTAAGTCCATAATTAGTAGAATGGAAATCTAGAAAAAACAGGTCAGAATTACGGGTTCTTCGCATAGGTATATTAAATGAGATTAAACCCAAAATTTCAATTAATAAATCCATTTAGAAGGTTATGTAAAAAATGTAATACAAATTCAGCTCTTCTAGTCTCTAATTTGTTCATTTTAAGTTGATTAAGAATATAACTGTGGTTATAATCTCCACGTCTTAAACTCATTTTATAACCCCATATCCTTAAAAATCTGTTTTAAACTTTTTCTAACTGAGTTTTCTGGTATTATAAAAAGGACACCATATATATAATACAGCAGTATTCTATAATTGATCGCACTAGCGAACAGTTTAATATTTTAAACGTAAAATCTGAAAAGTCCTTTGAATTTCTCTGGATAAATCCTAATATTTTAAGGGCACGTGAAGTTATGTCATTAATATGATCATTAAAGTTCAGTTTTCTATCCAGTGTTATACCCAAATCCCGTACCTGACGTATCTCTTGCAGAACAGTATCATTAAGTGTGTAATTATTATTAAAAGAAGCCTGCGTTTTACTAAACGTGATTTTAAAACATTTTTTTAGATTTAAGTTTAAAACATTTACTTCACACCAACGTGAAAAATTATTTAAGGAGAACTGCAAACATTCACAATCAAAGAGGCAAGCAATGGATCTCAAGATTTTTATGTCATCAGCGAATAAGAGAAATTGGTCGGAGTTAATTACTGTTTGTAAATCGTTAACAAATATATTAAAAAGCAGTGGACCCAAATGAGAACCTTGTGGAACACCTGATGTTATATGAATTGGTTTTGACAAAAAACTACCATATTTAACCATTTAAGAACGATTAGACAAATAATGTTTAATCCAATTTGAGATATGGGATCTCAACAGAGATGAAAATACTTCGACGAATATCAGGGGAAAATCTGTTGGATAGGGAGAGAACCGAAAACATAATACGGGAAAACATAAACGAATACGGGAGTGGAACGAACACATTAGTAGAATGGCAGATAATAGGAAAGTACGAATAGCATGAGATAAGTCACCAAATAGACGAAGAAGTAATGCTATATCTTCCTTAAACTATACCAGCTCAGTAGGTATTGATCAAATCCCCACTAAAATAATTAAATACATTTCTTCATATATATCTCCTGTTCTGTCTCACATCATCAACCTATCTGTCAAGGATGGCAAGTTTCCAAGTGACCTTAAAACGGGGGTAGTTAGTCCAATTTTCAAACAGGGAGATCCATGTTTGGTTGATAATTACAGGACAATTACCATAACAAGTGTACTCTTTAAGATTATCGAAAAATGTATTTACAGTAAAATGTTAAATTTTCTGAATAAATATGATATCTTAAATAAATGCCAGCATGGTTTTCTTCCTAATAAATCTACAGAGACTGTTTCTATTTCATTATTTAATTATATCCACGCTGCTTTGGATCGAAAAAGGTACGTGGGTGCACTCTTTTTTGACTTAACTAAGGCTTTTGACTCTATTGGCATTGAAATTATACTGCATAAATTAGAAGCTCTTGGTTTTCGGGGTCATTTCTTGAATTGGTTAAGGTCATAATTACAACATCGTAAATTCCTAGTAGAAGTCGCAAGGCTTTGTATTGGGACCCTTAATATTTCTTTTATATGTCAATGATTTGATAAATTTTTTAACTGCAGACCATACAGTTCTTTATGCAGATGATTCAACAATTGTAGTTGACGAGTCAACTGAAGTCGAACTCATATTAAAAATGAACTTAGTAGCACAGGAATTTACAACCTGGTGTAAAAGGAACTCTTTAATGGTAAATGCAAAGAAAACTATTTGTATGCAGTTCTACTCGCGCTGTAAGTCATCCCATGGTTATAAAATCACAGTTAGTTCTGAGGAAATACCTTTTAGTGATACAACATTATTTCTTGGTAGCATTCTAGAAAGTAATATGACATGAGATGTCACTAAAGTGTGCAAAACAATGAATAAGGGTTACTATGCGATCCTTCAGTTGAAAACTCTATTTTAACCAATCAATTGATAAGTGTTTATTACGCATTGGTTTATTCATATATGACCTATTATGTTGTCTTGTGGGGAAACTCTAGAAACTCTTCTAGAGTTTTTATAACTCAAAAGAGAATTCTTAGATTGATATTCAATATGGATAATAGACAATCATGTCGTAAATATTTTATTGAACACAGACTGTTGAATTTTCATGCTTTATATCTTTATAAGTATATTATTCACGTCAAAACTAAATTTCAAAATTTTACCCTCAACTCTGACTTTCATAATTACCCGACAAGACACGGGAGGTTGATAAGCGTGTGTAAACACTCCACAACTCTTTTTGAAGCTAGTCCTGATTTTGCAAAATCTAAATTTTACAATTGTTTGCCACTTAATATAAGAAATGAAAATAATATTCAAAAATTCAAAAATAAATTAAAAGCATGCTTGATCCAATTATGCGTTTACAACCTAAATGATTATTTTGACTTAATAAAAGACTACAGGGAATGAGGACCGACGGGTTCAGAGACGCTCTATATTGCATACCTTTTTTTAATATTATTCTATATTTTATTGATTTTGTTTTATGTAATTGTACTATACAACTTGGTGATCATGCTTTATGTACTATATGACTTGTCCTATATGACAATGTAATCTGATGGGATTAATAAAAAATATTCTATTGAAGAGGAAACGGCCTTTAAAGCCTACATACCAGAAGGAAGAAGAATAAGAAGATATGTTTCATGTCCCTGTCTATCTTCTCATTGTATTAATAGAAAATTATTATTTAATTGGTCTACGGAGGGTATTGCCTTATTTTAATACATTTTGAATAGGTATGTAGGTATCTAAAGTCAATTTTGTGGATTTAAAAACTCCTCTGCTAAAATATTCTCAAATTTTATGAATTCTACTGATTTCTGTCTATCTGAAATTCGTCAGATTTTCCAATAGAATAATTAATAGTAGAAGTAATGACAACTTTTGCACTAAATTTACGTGACTTAATTAAAATGCCAGAAATTAACTTATCAAGAAATATGTAAAAGAGTCTTGCGACGTGTATATCATAATGATTATCTATTAAATTGTGTAACCTATTTATTGCCAAAATTTACCGCAATAAAAATATCCGTTAGTAAATTTCCAATTTAAATAAATTAAATAAAAATATTTTATATACAACCGACACCCAAATATATTCGCTAATTTAAAAATAAATAATTAATACATACCTTCCGGTTTCTCCTCATCCTCTCTCCCAGTTCTCCCAAAAACTTGGGATCGTCATTACAATCCCGGACATATCGCGGGATTTTCGTTATATCAGCTAGCCATCCCAATCCATATCCTCCAAAGGTACTCCAGGTGAGAAAAGCATGTGCATCCCTCTCTAAATAGAACAAGTGCAGCCCGAAAATTCCACCGAAAAACCACCACACGTAGGCCCACACGACACTTTTCTTCGCCCTATTTACCTCATTGTTTCTCATATTTAAATACGAACTAAGCTTGTTTGCAATACCACGTAATGCTTGATAAGAAACAATGCCACACTCGTTATCGGTATATCGCATAATGAGTTAGAATTTGTAATTAAAAGTTTGAACATAAAATTTATCCCTTATTGATTTTTTTTCTACGTTTTATTACTTGGACGAAAAAGATGAACTGTCATTATTTTACTGGGTTTACTAAGTTCATTGAACGCGAGAATACACTGACTGAGTCAAGAAATTTGAGGCCTCCACGTACCACATCAAGGTACGGTTAAGCCGAAGAAGATACCTGTTGAAGAGCCAACGGCGGAACTTGAAGCGGGGCTGTGGGTGACAGTTGTATTTAATTAATGTAACAAATAAAATTACTATTTTTATTTTTTATTCAAGTTTAAACTAGAAGGTAAAGTTAAAGAGAAAATTCTTGTATTCTTCTTCTACTTTCAGACTCATACCAGGTTCGCCTAACGATGTACAGTGTATATCCCTTTACAAATGCTTCTTCTTCTTCTTCGTGCGACTAGGATCTTCTTCTTCTTCTTCGGCTTTTTCCATTATGAGTTTGCCGTTTTCGTCCTCCACAGCACTCTATTCTCCCAGTCACCTTCTCTGAGGTCTCTATTATCTATCATAGCATTTCCGACGTATGTTTTCCATCTTTTAGCAGGTCTTCTTCCCGGCGGGTACCAGTTTAATATTCTTTTCGGCCACCTATGCTCTGACATTCTTTGTACATGTCCGTACTACTGGAGGGCTCTGTTTTCCAACTTTTTTGTAATTGAGCATTCTACTTCCATTCTGTTCCATGTTTCCTCCGTTCTAATTCTATCCGATCTTGTGATTTGTAGACATCTTCTTATAAAGTTCAGTTCAACTGTTCTTATTTTATTTCGTATTGTTGTTGTCATTGGCCATACTTCCGCTCCTAATAGCTGAATATTCACCACTATGCTTTGAAAGATCCTCTTCTTGTTTTCTTTGGTTAGAGTGCTGTTCCATATCACTTCATAAAGTGCTCTTGTGGCTTGTTTTCCCCGTGCTATTTTCATTTCTATATCTCTCATACAAGTACCATCTCATCATTGACTCTAAATACTTAAAAGTCTTACAACTCTTAATAGTCTCTTCTTCTAAACTTAAGTTCAAATCTGCAACCTCGGATCCAATACCTAAGTATTCGGTCTTGCACATATTTATCTTGAGTCCCCAAAGTTCATGTTCTTCCTTTAATTTCCTTATCATATATTCCATATATTCCCTGTCTTGTGCAAAAATGACTGGATCATCTGCGAAAAGTAGTGAATGTAATATACTTTCTTGTACTGGTCTGCCCATTGTTCCGCATTTTCTATACCATCTTTTCAAAGCCTAATCTATATATATATATATATATATATATATATATATATATATATATATATATATATATATATATATATATGTTAAAAAGTGTAGGTGAGAGACCACATCCCTATTTGAGGCCTTTTGTTGCGGTGATTGTCTTTTGTTATTTCATTACCTAACTTTATTTGCACTTGTGATTCTTTTTATAGTCTTTGTGTTATATTCACCCATTTCTCTCTAACGCGCATTCTTCTCATTGCTTCAAATAGTTGTTTCCTAGGCACGCTATCGTATGCTTTCATACGTCGATAAAGGTCATATGTGTTTCAATGTTTTTTTCTTTACTTTTCTTTTTTTATTTTAGAATATATTATCTAAACATGATCTGGCTTTTCGGAATCCGGCTTCTTCTTCACTATAATGGTCCATGTGTTGTTCTAGTTTTTCTTTTATAGCTGATGAAAAGATTCTTGCTATTAAAGGCATTACACTGATACCTCTGTAGTTATTTGGTGACCCTTTGTCACCTTTTTTGAAAATGGAGGAGATGTATGATAAATTCCACTCATCGGGAATCTTCTCTCCTGCTTCGATTTTTTTGAACAACATTCGTATAAAGGATACTATCCTTACGCCTCCATATTTTAGCAGTTCCATTTTTATGTTCCCTGGTCTGGCGACTAGGATTACTCCTGTTTTTCTGCCTCTTATTCTGTTTCAGTCGTTTTGACTGTAAATTATCTTTTTGGCCTCCACCTTTTTGGCCTCCTTCCAACAGGTCTTCTGCTATACAGCTTGGTGTTTTTACAGATGTTTGCTAATCTATCTAGTCCCATTCAGTTTACATGTTCGTTCCAGTTTTTTTTTCTTGTTTTTATCCACCTGTTAATATTTTGAATTTTGCATTGTTCGCGTATACTTCTGTTGGTTTCTCTGTCTCTTAATGATATGCCCGCTAGTGAGCTTAATACTTTCATTTCGATATTGTTGATTTGTTGTTACGTCTTTCTTGTATCGGTCTTTGTCTCATATACACATTTCCATTCTCTGTGGAATATTCCATACCTTCCACACCTTATATCCAAGACTTGGCTGGTCTTCCTCGTTTTCTTCTATTACTTGGTTTGTATTCCGTAGCTCTTTTTGGCCATCTGTTAACGTCCATCCTCTGTACGTGTCCATACCATATTAACTGTCTAGTCTCTATTCTTTCAGAAGTTGTATGTACTCTATCTGTTTTTCTTCTAATTTTAGAAACAATCTTTCAATATAATTTGGTACCATTAGCGTCAATTATTGGGAAGAAATTTATCGTTTTCTTTTTTGATATGTTAGTGTTAGTTACTTTTCTGTCTTAGATTTCTTCTTCTTCGTTCAAGGTCCACGATTCAACACCATATAAAAGGACAGAGAAGACGTAGCATTGCAGAATTCTTACTTTTGTATCAAGAGAGAGGTTGTGACTCTTGAAGAAGGCCCCCATCCGATTGAAGGTGAATCTAGCTTTTGCGATGTGTGCTCTAATCTCGTGGTTGTTATACCATTCTTCATTTATTATTCAGGTAGTCGTAGTGTGTCACTCTTTCTACAGGAGATTGGTTGCAGGAGTTCAGTGATAGAGTTTAAATATCTAGGCATGACATTATCTAGCTATGGAAAGCTCGAAACTGAAGTGGAAGATCAAGTGAATACAGCAAACAGAACCGCAGGCTGCCTAAATGAAACAATATGGAGACATAAAAATATCGGGAAATAATCGAAAGGCAGAATATACAAAACAGCCATCAGACCCATAATGACATACGCGGCAGAAACAAGACCTGGCACAGAGAGGACACAAAGGATGTTAGAAACAGCAGACCTAAAAACACTTTGATGGTGAAAAATTGATGGTGAGACACAAAATATATTTTGGGTTGACTAGACAACTAAAGGGGTCCGCCAAGGGTGTATTTTATCACCCTTGTTATTCAATTTATACAGTGAAGCCATCTCAGAATTAGCGCTTGCCGAGATCAGTGAGGGCCTTATAATAAACGGTGAGCCACTTAATAACATAAGATATGCTGACGACACCGTCCTTCTGGCAGGAACACTAGAAGAACTGCAACACCTTGCTGAACAACTAAATATATATTGCAACGATTATGGACTAAAAATCAATTTGAAGAAAACCAAGTTCATGGTATTTACAAAAGCACAAAACATCAAAGTTAAGCTAGTAGTAGATAATACAGAAATTGAACAAATATTTTCGTACAAATACCTTGGAGCATGGATCACAGAAGATACTGATCAGACAAAAGAAATAAGATGCCGCATTGAAATTGCGCGGTCAACTTTTAATAGAATGAGAAAACTTTTTTGTAATCGCGATATCAATATATCGCTCCGGATTAGAATGCTTCGATGTTATATTTTCTCTACCCTTTTGTATGGAGTTGAAGCTTGGACACTTAAAAAATCCAAAATTAAAAACCTAGTAGCATTCTAAATGTGGTGTTACCGACGTATTTTAAAAATATCATGGATGGATCGCAAAACAAACGAACAAGTTCTCGAACAACTAGGAAAACAATGCGAAGTTTTAAATTCCATAAAAAACAGGAAATTGGAATACTTGGGGCACATAATGAGAGGTGAAACTACTAAGGAGTATAATGCAGGGTAAAATCAAAGGTAGAAGAAGCGTAGGAAGACGTAAAAAGCAGAAAGTTAAGCAAGAAAACAACATTTTTAATTCAATTTCAACAAAGTTCTTATTTTCCTAATACTGATATCCAAGTGGATCCGAGTTAAGGATCATCTTTAAAGAAAATGAAATTCTTTGAACAGAAGATCCTGTGAAAATATTTTAAGGAGTAGGTACAACTATGACGTATATAATAAATACAAACACGTATCAGGTGAAAAATACGTGATATATCTCAAGAAAATAAAAAAACTGAAATGGGTAGTACATCTAACACAATCACACCAGAGCAACCCTCCCCCCAGACAAAATTTATGCTACAGCCCGAGAGAACTAAGACCCATAGTACCATTAATGATGATGATCTAAGCTGCATTTGGTAGCTAGTATCAAATATAAAAATATTTATATTTTTGTTTACTACCACTGGAAAAAATATGTTTCCATTAAGAAATTTTTTGAAATCCTTAATTTTTGTCATAAACTTTCAATTGTATCAATTATGTACATAATTGCCATTCCAAATATATTTTAACTACAATTTAATTACCCGCAAAAGGTGTTATTAAAATTGGGCAACACGAATCATTAATTCAAATAGGTACTGTCGCAATATAATTACGCAGTACACCAGCGTTTTAAACAAATTGTTTTCTTATTTTAAAGCCAGCTGAAGATAGCAAATGGAATAAATTATGCAAAAACTAAAAATAATTAATTTTATTGGACAAACGGTACGACTTATTTTCAGATTATTATTATTAAACAGAAAGCAAACATCGATAACAGACGTGAGAACATACAGAGGTGCACATGCAGACACAGACCATTTCATGGTTACCGCAACGATAAGACAAAAAGTCAAAAGAACGCTAAAAAACAAGACAACAAAGGACAAATGGTACATAGAAAAATTAAATGCTACAGATAGAAGAATTAAATATGCAGAAGATATAAGCAAAAAACTGAAGGAATACTGTGAACATACAGAGGATGTTGAAACAGAATGGAGCAATATAAAAAAATGTATAAATGAAACAGC